TCGAACTCAAATAAAAAACTCTTCAAAAAAATGATTTTATAGTAAAAAAAATACATTTAAGATAAAAATATTATTTTATTATCTTTAAAATTTTAAAATTTTGTTATTTTGTATATATTTTAAATATTTTAATTACTAATATCATTTTTTATAATATTATCAAACATTTAAAATTTCTAATCACACTTTTTTTATCATATTTTTTAAATGTATTGTTTAATTCAAATCTTTTTCACTGCAGCAACAACGCTTAACTATCCATTAATAGTTTTGAACTCAAATAAAAGCTTCACTTAACCACAATTAGTACATATAAATGAATAATGGAATAATTCATGGGCAAATAAACTACATTCAACATTTGTTTTTAATGCACTAAAAATTAATTACTCAAGTAACCACATGAGTGAAAATATATAGAATTATTTGAATTTATTTTTATATGCTCATTTCAAAAATATTAAAAGACTCTGGTCGGCAGTCCATACTTATCTTTTGAATAGCATAATTATATGTTAAATTAAAAAATAATGCAAATCGTAATGGTGAGTACTCCCTTTCTCAAACAAAATGCACTAAATACAATGAAAAATATAATAAAATGAAAGAAAATGTGATTGAATAATAATGTGTTATGAATGCATGTTCTTTCATCACTTTCAACCCTTATTTTTCTTTATTAAACAGTATTGGAAAATGCAACATGCATGAAGGTCAAAATATTGTATGAGTTAAATAATTGTGAAGACAGTAACAATTATGGTTAATTGTATTCCAATTGCAATAATTTTTAAGAACAAATAAATCAAACCTTGTGGGGTTTTAATTTCTTGCAGGTCCCATTCTATGCTGCAGCTCAACTAATAGGAGCAATCTTTGCATCATTTGCACTTCGCGTATTATTGCATCCAATAAAACACGTTGGCACCACATCAGCTTCGGGGTCAAATTTTCAAGCTCTAGTCATGGAAATAGTTGTCACATTTTCAATGATGTTTATCGCATCAGCTGTGACAATTGATACTAAAGCTGTAAGAATAATCTCAAAGGATTATCGAGACTTTAATTCATGACTTTTTATCATCAAAACAATTAAATTAATTAATTGATTCAATCACTTATTGATACACACATATATTTGATGTCACAACACACTTATATTGTACTTATATGGTAGAATGGTGCATGGCATTTTCTTCTCAAAGTTTTGTCCTTTTTGAGGTATAATTGGATCTTTCCAGTTTTTATATGTTTCCATATTGACAGGTAGGAAAGCTAGCAGGCATAGCTGCTGGTTCTGTTGTTTGCATAACTTCGATCTTGGCTGGGTAAGCAACTTTTGAAATCTTCATGAGTCAACTCTTCCAATTCCTTTGTCTTAGTTGCCATTATATGCCCAATTAATCTTACATTAACGGACAGATTCATTTGTCCGAATTGTTTCTTGAAGATTCTCTTGATATTCATTCTTCAAGAAAAACCAGCATCTAGGCCACAACATATGTACATAAGCACACATACAAAAAAAAAAAATGTAATGCTAATTACAAGTTGTCTAAGCATATAAATAAATATATATATATATATATATATATATATACTTCAGACCCATATCAGGTGGATCAATGAACCCAGGAAGGACCATAAGACCAGCGCTTGCTAGTGCTCAAAACAAGGAAATTTGGGTGTATGTGGTTGGACCAGTGATTGGAACCTTGACGGGGGCATGGTCTTACAATCCGATCCGATGACAGACAAACCATTGCATAAAATCTCTCCATGTTCATTTTCATTCAAACTTTGTCGAATGAGAAGCCAAGATGGAGAGGTTCCAAACGAAGAACCTGTCAATGATATTTGAATTATCGATCTATTGTTCGATATCAAGGGCATGGCAATCCTCACACTATTTTTTTCTCTACCCTGAAAACTAAATTGTGGACAAATCTTGAAAAAAATGTTGTTGTATTATAACTGTAATACATATATAATTGTATGTAATAGTATAAAGAAGTAGGATTGGAAAATAAAAATTATACTGAAGTTGTATTATCACTTGCATTCACACTTGCATGTAATAGTTGTATTATCACTTGCATTCGCACTTCCATGTGCATCATGAGAAAAACATTTGCATTCACATTTGTATCATGAGAAAGACATTTGCATTTACATTATCTACATCATAACCAAGACATTCGTATATGCTTCATTGCATCATAGAAAAAGTATTTGTAAGGGCATTTACATGAAAGGAACATTGGCATCTGTATTATGAAAAAAGTCACATGTATTTGCATCAAGCATTTGCATTCTTGCATTTGCATAAACATTCACATTAGCATTATTTGATGAAAATAGACATTTGTATCATGATTGTGTTTGTCAACTTTCTAAATATTAGAAAAAAGGAAAAGAAAGGAAACAGAGACATTTTAAGTAGTAAAAAAAAAGTGAAAAACAAAAAAGAAAGAGAAAAATAATGGAAAATTAGCAAAAAAACAAGGCAAAAAGAAAAAAGAAAGTCTATCATGTAAGAGATGAGAAAGAAATAAGAAAAAAAGAAAATAGTTTGATAAAAGACCAAAAAGTAAAAAAGGTTTGAAAAGTTGAAAGAAAAATTATCTATAAAAAGCAAAGGGGTTGTTGAAAAAATGAATGAAAAAAGATGAGATATGACACAAAATAAGACTTAAGCCTAGTCTAGCTGCCACTCAGATCAAATTAAGCCCAAATTAGTTGGCACCCAAGCCTAGATTAGCTTGTACCCAAGCCAAATTAGCTTGCACTTTAGCTAAGAGCTAAGACCAATAGGCACACAAGCCTAGTTTAGTTAGCATCCTAATCAAACTAAACTCAGATTAGTTGGCACAGTTGACATTTTAAACATAGTTTAGCTGGCACTTTAAGCCCAGTTTAGCTGATACTCAAATCAAACTAAGCCTAGATTAGTTAGCAATTTAAGCCCAAATTGACTTGCACCTTAAACCCAGATTAGGTTGACATTGACAAAATTTAAGTCTACTTTAATTGGCACTCGAATTTTAATGAAATGGGCACCAGTTAAGAAAAATGTTGTGATCAAATTTTCTACAAAATTACTTGGTGGTGATATCCAAAGTTAGAGAAATCATAAATTTTGAATGTCTTCTTTTTTTACAAACAAATTTTTAGAAAATAATTTGTAAGTTTTCCAAGCAAAATCTATGATTTCTTAATGATTTCCAAATACCTTCAAGCAAAATTTTAAATTTTTGAATGATTTCAAAGACCTCTAAACAAAGCCTCAAAATTTTTTTCATAATTTCTAAGACCTCAAAGCAAACATTTAAATGATTCATAAGACCTTTGGGCAAAATGTTTAAATTTTTTTAAACTTTCAAAGCCTCTAATCAAAGGAGTTTTCATACATAACAAGATTTTTAAGACCTCCAAGCATAATCTCTAAGACTTTCGGGCATAATCTTTAAGATTTTTGAACATAATCTCTAATACTTATGGGCATAATCTTTAAGATCCTTAAGCATAATCTTTAAGACCTCTAGATAAAACATTTTAAATTTTTAAAGTTTCGAGGCCTTAAATTAGAGGAGCTTTCATACATGACAAGTTCTTTAAGACCTCCGAGCAAAACATTTTAAATCTTTAAAGTTTCAAGATCTCTAATAAAAGAAGCCTTCATACATGACAAGATCTCTAAGACCTCCAAGCAAAATATTTTAAAATTTTAAAGTTTCAAGGCTTCTAATCAAATGAGCTTTCATACACAACAAGATCTCTAAGACCTTTAGACATAATCTTTAAGACCTTCGGGCATAATCTTTAAGATCTTCGGACATAATCTCTAAGACCTTCAAGCAAAACATTTTAAATTTGTAAAGTTTCAAGGCCTCTGATCAAAAGAGATTTCAAAAATGTTAAGATTTGTAAGACCTCTAGGCATAATATCTAAAACCTTTGATCATAGTCTCTAAGTCCTCCAAATAGAATTCGTAAGTCTTCTGAGTTAAATCTATTTTAGTTTTGAGATTCGTGAAACCTCCAAACATGATCTCTTGTTTTATTTTCAAAAGTTGTTGAGTTTTTTTGTTTTCAAGTGATTAAATTAATTGATTAAAAAACTCAAAATCACAAAATCAAAAAATAAAAAATAAAAAAAACAAATCAAGAAAAACCAAAAAAGAAAAAAAAAACTTTTGAAAACTTTGGCATCATTACTCTGAATAAAATTGTTATCTATGTCTTTATCCTATTTTTAATTTTCAATAATGTGCAAAGAGAGGCAGCTATAGACACCTAATTTTATCTAGATTGATTCGACTTTCGTTTGATTTTTACGTTTGATTCAAATAATTTAATTTGGACTAATGTAAGCGCGATAATTGAATTAATGTGTTTCAGGCTTGCCTCTGATTAATTGTTTTTGAATTATTTTATATGAATTAAAATCTAGTCCCATTTAAAGCGCAAATCCTAAAGTCCATTTTGATTCAATCTTGGGTCAAAATTCAATCACTTAGACTTAAAGGCCCAACTGGAGCACAAATCAATTTTTTGAGCCTCAAGCTCCAATTTTAGGCCTAGATTAATTTTTAATTCTCAATTTCATTTTTATTTTTTGGAATTAATTAAATTAATTAAAAACTAAAAGATCAAAAAATAAAAAAAGACAAGATAACAAAAATGCTCCAAAAGACAGGGCTTGCACTTCACTAGCCCCAACAACCTGCTCCTTTACCTTTCACTTTACCACCCTCTGCCACCCTACACCACCTTACAAATTTTGCCAAGTATGGAAATGTAAAGATTAAAAAGACTAAGGAGAAGGTTCCAAGACCCATAAGATTTGTTTCTTAGAATGGAAAATATGTTATCATTTAGCCCCCAACTTTTCTTACAAACATTTCTTTATTACTCATGATAAATATCTTCACAATGAACCTGTCTACAGGAAGGCAAGAAAGATTAAAGAGAGATCCTTGCAGCCTTCTGATCAAACCTGTTAATAACTTAACATCATAGTGCCATATAAATAAAAAAATAAAAGTTAAAAGTGAAATCTGTGCAGTGGAAAGTGGAAAGTAGGCATTGTCCAGTTTGGCTATCTTACTTGTTTTAATGTAAATCAGGCTATAGTATGTTAATATGGACCCTTAACCATTAATAGAGCCACGGACAATGGGTACTTTTTTAATAAAGAAAGTCACAATCTGAAAAGAATGAAAATAATTGTTGATATTAAAATTTGAATTTCAAACTTATTGGATGTTCACTCTTAAAGATAACTGCATGAATCAACTAAATTAAGATCTGAATTTTATCTAATTTTTTTAATCCAACAGGCATATTAGATATCATTGGCCACAACAACTATAAAAGAATGCAATTTGAACATTGAGATTGAGTTGGTATTTCTAGTGAATTAACCTCACTCTTCCGCTTCCATTCTTCAATTTCTCAGTCCTTCAATAATGGCTACAATAGATCTTCAAAATAAGCTTGCCCCACTCGATCAAAATCCAACACCCCAAGAGCCAGGCATTAGTTTTGTTTGCAAATCATTTCAAAAGTACTACCCTCCTGATTTTCCAAGAAAGGTAAAAACGGTTTTGCATGTATCTCAACTTCCAACCCTGTTAAAACAACATCTTACATCAAACTATAGCTTTTCCTTTTGTATAAACAACATTAATTGTCTGATAAAATTTTATATGTATATATGTAACAGGTGTTTGCAGAGATTATAGCAACCTACTTGCTAGTGTTTGTGACATGTGGATCAGCTGCCATTAGTTCCATTGATGAAAACAAAATCTCAAGGCTTGGAGCTTCAATTGCTGGTGGGCTTATTGTAGCTCAAATGATCTATGCAGTTGGCCATGTCTCTGGTGCACACATGAACCCAGCTGTTTCTCTTGCATTTGCAGCTGTCAGATATATTCCATGGAAACAGGTACATGTTTTTCTTTTTAGCTCCTGAAATCACCATGTTTTTGCTTAGGAAACTATGAAAATAAATAATATTAGACAAAAAAAAATTGCAGAGTCTGATCCAATGATTTTGTTCTTCAATTTTTTTCTGTTATTTTCTTTGTTGATGAATTTTTATTTTTTTGGCAAAGGTTTATTATTAGAAAATTAACTTTTATTGATGAAATTTTTTTGTCAACAATAACAATTTTTCAAATTTTTTATAAGTGATAGACAAGTCCATAATATGTTGCTAGGTTTATTTATAGGAAATTGGATTAACATGATGACATGGCAAATAGAAAAGTGGGGTCAAGCTCAGGTTTCAGTTTTTGAATCATTGGAACCGTTTTAACTTTGATGTTGAAATAAATTTTTGCCCACAAAATTTTATTGTAATTTAAACGCAATATTAAACCAAAAAATAGTTTTTCAATTTAAAGGTTTAGTTTTCCGACTCAAATAAAAAATCTCTTAAAAAATGGTTTTATAGTAAAAAAAATACATTTAAGATAAAAAAAATTATTATCTTTAAATTTTTAATATTTTATTATTTAGTATATATTTTTAAATATTTCAAATTCTAGTAACACTTTTTCGTAATATTATCAAACATATAAAATTTTTAATCACATTTTTCCAATCATATTTTTTAAATATATCTTTTTAATTCAAATCTTTTTCACTGCAGCAGCAATGCTTAACTAACCATTAATAGTTTTGAACTCAAATAAAAGCTTCACTTTACCACAATTAGTAAATATACATGAATAATGAAATAATTCATGGGCAAATAAACTATATTCAACATTTATTTTTAACGCACTAAAAATTAGATACTCAACTAACCACATGATTGGAATATATATATATATATATATATATATATCCATATTGAAAATATATAGAATTATTTGAATTTATTTTTATATGCTCATTTCAAAAATATTAAAAGACTTTGGTCGGCAGTCCAAACTTATCTTTTGAGTAGCATAATTATATATTAAATTAAAAAATAATGCAAATCGTAATGGTGAGTACTCCCTTTCTAAAAAAAAAAATGAGCACTAAAAACAATGAAAAATGGAATATAATGAAAGAAATATGGATGAATAATAATATGTTATGAATGGATGTTCTTTCATCACTTTCAACCTTTATTAAACAGTGTTGGAAAATGCAACATGCATGAAGGTCAAAATATTGTATGAGTTAAATAATTGCGAAGACAGTAACAATTATGGTTAATTATAGTCAAATTGCAATAACTTTTAAGAACAAATAAATCAAACCTTGTGGGGTTTTAATTTCTTGCAGGTCCCATTCTATGCTGCAGCTCAACTAACAGGAGCAATCTCTGCATCATTCACACTTCGTGTATTATTGCATCCAATAAAACATATTGGCACCACAACACCTTCGGGGTCAAATTTTCAAGCTCTAGTCATGGAAATAGTTGTCACATTTTCAATGATGTTTATCGCTACAGCTGTAACAATTGATACTAAAGCTGTAAGAATCATCTCAAAGGATTATCGATACTTTAATTTATGACTTTTTATCATCAAAACAAATGAATTAATCAATTGATTTAATCAGTTATTGATAAACACATATATTTGATGTCACAACACATTTATATTTTACTTATATAGTAGAATGGTGCATGGCATTTCTTCTCAAAGTTTGTCCTTTTTGAGGTTAATTGGATCTTTCCAATTTTTATATGTTTCCATATTGACAGGTAGGAGCGCTAGCAGGCGTAGCTGTTGGTTCTGCTGTTTGCATAACCTCAATCTTGGCTGGGTAAGCAACTTTAGATATCTTCATTTATGAGTCAACTCTTCCAATTCCTTTTTCTTAGCTGGCATTATATGCCCAATTAACCTTACATTAACGGACAGATTCATTTGTCCAAATTGTTTCTTGAAGATTCTCTTGATATTGATTCTTCAAGAAAAACCAGCATATAGGCCATAACATATGTACATAAGCGCACATACAAAAAAATAAATGTAATGCTAATTACAAGTTGGCTAAGCATATATATATATATATATATATACATGTATATTTCAGACCAATATCAGGTGGATCAATGAACCCAGCAAGGACAATAGGACCAGCACTTGCTAGTGCTCAGTACAAGGGAATTTGGGTGTATGTGGTTGGCCCAGTGATAGGAACCTTGACGGGGGCATGGTCTTACAATCTGATCCGAATGGCAGGCAAGCCGGTGCTCGCAATCTCTCCGCGTTCAGTTTCATCCCAACTTCGTCGAATGAGGAGCCAAGATGGAGAGGTTCCAAACAAAGAACCTGTCAATGATCTTTGAATTATCGATCCATTGTTCAATATCAAGTGAAAGGCAATCCTCACGCCCTTTTTATCTCTACCCTGAAAACTAGATTATGGACATATCTTGAAAAAATGTTCTTGTATTATAACTGTAATACATATATAGTTGTATGAAATGTTCTTGTATTATAACTATAATACGAGTGACCGAGATTGAATCGTAGGTCAAAAAAAATGATTTGAACTTACCCGAGATCGAAATTGAGTGATTCAGATTGAACCGTGGGCTCGAAAAATAAAATAATTTAGATTGAACCGATTTTAAAAACAAATTACCATTATTGAATCGCGAGTTAAAAAAATAAAATTCAAAATTTCAGCTTGAAATCCAAAGATTTACAATTTGAAAATTTAAACATTTGTAAAGTTATGTAACAGAAGTTTTAAAATCCCAATATTCCAAATTTTGCAAAAAAAAAAAAAAATCACAAAGATTCAATAGTTGCAAAGGTTTTTATATTCGCAAGTATTATAATATATAAATTTGTGGACTTACCACTAGACATGGATTAAAAGAGTTATCGTCAATTTTTTTTGTTTAGGTGTGATTGATCACTTGATCGAATCTGTCTCATTTACACAGTAGTTTCAAAATTGACTTAAATATCTTTAAATAGTATATTCTAATTCATGAAACCAGATTTTAAACAGCATATTCTTGAATTAACCTCAACCTCTCCCCTCCATCCTTCAACTTCTCAGTCCTTCAACAATGGCTACAACAGATCATCAAAATAAGCTTGCCCCATTCGATCAAAATCCAACACCCCAAGAGCCTGGCATTAGTTTTGTTTGCAAATCATTTCAAACATACTACCCTCCTGATTTTCCAAGAAAGGTAAAAACATTTTCGCATGTATCTCAACTTCCAACACTGTCAAAACAACATCTTACATAAAACTATAGCTTTTCCTTTTGTATAAACAACATTAGTTGTCTGATAAAATTTTATACGCACATATGTAACAGGTGTTTGCAGAGATCATAGCAAGCTACTTGCTAGTGTTTGTGACTTGTGGATCAGCTGCCATTAGTGCCTTTGATGAAAACAAAATCTCAAGGCTTGGAGCTTCAATTGCCGGTGGGCTTATTGTAGCTGCAATGATCTATGCAGTTGGCCATGTCTCTGGTGCACACATGAACCCAGGTCTTACTCTAGCATTTGCAGCTGTCAGACATATTCCATGGAAGCAGGTACATTATTTTCTTTTTAGTTCCTCAAATCACCATGTTTTTGCTAGGCTTGGCGATTTGTGTCTTCATATTGTGAAAAAATATTAAAATTCATTTATTCGTATCATATTTTATAAAAAAATTATGTTTTATAATTTATATCGAAATGAAAATATAAAATATCTTTTTTTTTTGTTTTGTTAAATCAATATATAGTTATTACTACAATTTTAAGTCATATTACCTTTGAATTCTATTTTTGTATCATTTTAGTATTGTATTATCGTGTCGTGTTTTAAATTACTAAGTCTAGTTTTTGCTTAGGAAACAATGAAAATAAATAATATTAGACAAACAAATAGCAACGTCTAATCCAATGGTCTTGATGATTTCTTTGGTGATGATTTCTTATTCTTTTGGCAAAGATTCACTATCGAAAATTGACTATTGCTAACAAAATTTTTTGTCAATAATAATATGTTTTTCATTGATAATAACATTACTAATAGAATTTACCGACGAAAAATTTTTTAAGTTATAGATAAGTCGATAATATATTTTTAGGTTTCACCTAAAACAAAATGAATTGACATGACGACATGGCAAATAAATAAGTGGGGTCGAGCCCAGGTTACAATTTTTGGATTATTGGAACCATTTTAACTTTGACATTAAAATAAATTTTTGTGTTCAAAATTTTATTTTAATTTAAAAACAATATTAAACAAAAAATAATAATTTTTTAATTTAAAAGTTTAATTTTCCAACTCAAATAAAAAACTCTTCAAAAAAATGATTTTATAGTTAAAAAAATACATTTATGATAAAAACATTATTTCATTATCTTCAAAATTTTTAAATTCTGCTATTTTGTATATATTTTAAATATTTTAATAACTAATATCACTTTTTTTATAATATAATCAAACAGTTAAGATTTCTAATCACACTTTTTTTACCATATTTTTTAAATGTATTTTTTAATTCAAATCTTTTTCACTGCAGCAGCAACGCTTAACTATCCATTAATAGTTTTGAACTCAAATAAAAGCTTCACTTAACCACAATTAGTACATATAAATGAATAATGGTATAAATCATGGGCAAATAAACTATATTCAGCATTTATTTTTAACGCACTAAAAATTAAATACTCAACTAACCACATGATTGGAATATATATATCCATATTGAAAATATATAGAATTATTTGAATTTATTTTTATATGCTTATTTCAAAAATATTAAAAGACTTTGGTCGGCAGTCCAAACTTATCTTTTGAGTAGCATAATTTTATATTAAATTACAAAATAATGCAAATCGTAATGGTGAGTACTCCCTTTCTAAAAAAAAAATGAGCACTAAAAACAATGAAAAATGGAATATAATGAAAGAAATATGGATGAATAATAATATGTTATGAATGCATGTTCTTTCATCACTTTCAACCTTTATTTTTCTTTATTAAACAGTGTTGGAAAATGCAACATGCATGAAGGTCAAAATATTGTATGACTTAAATAATTGCGAAGACAGTAACAATTATGGTTAATTATATTCAAATTGCAATAACTTTTAAGAACAAATAATTCAAACCTTGTGGGGTTTTAATTTCTTGCAGGTCCCATTCTATGCTGCAGCTCAACTAATAGGAGCAATCTCTGCATCATTCACACTTCGTGTATTATTGCATGCAATAAAACATATTGGCACCACATCACCTTCGTGGTCAAATTTTCAATCTCTAGTCATGGAAATAGTTGTCACATTTTCAATGATGTTTATCGCGTCAGCTGTAACAATTGATACCAAAGCTGTAAGAATCATCTCGAAGGATTATCGATACTTTAATTTATTTCTTTTTATCATCAAAACAAATGAATTAATCAATTGATTTAATCAGTTATTGATAAACACATATATTTGATGTCACAACACATTTATATTGTACTTATATAGTAGAATGGTGCATGGCATTTTCTTCTCAAAGTTTGTCCTTTTTAAGGTTAATTGTGTTGGGAAATCACCGCAGCCTAATACCACTCGATAGGCCAAAAGGTCCCAATCCAATTATGTCAGCAGAAGTGAAATCAAATAATCAATTAAATACACAAGAGATAATAATTTAACATGGTTCGATCTAACTAACCTACGTCTACGGATGAGAATCAAGATCTACTAGTTGTAGAGAATTACAAACATACAAATCAAATCATCAATCTCACTCAACAATCAATACTCATAAAACACTCTCAATCTCCTATAGTCCTATGGAGTATTATCAACCTAAACAAACATATACCCATGTGCACAATTTCAACACAAACAAACACACACCCATATGTACCCATTTATCATAACTATATGGACCCTCTCAATCTTCTCTAGTCCACTCCCAAACATTCAAACATATACACCCATAAGACGTAAATCCCTAATACTCCTATGGGGTGTCTATCCCATAAAATTTACAACTCTCTTATATTTTTTTCTTATGCCTAGCCCTGTGAAGACTTCACCTATTTATAACCACTTAAACTTGCCTGTTAAAATCCATTTTCTTTTAGAATTCTTCTCCTGCAAGTCAAACTTGCTTATTAAGAATCCCTTTTCTTCTTAAAATTCTTCTCTTGCAAGTCAAACTTTCCTATTAAGAATCCTCTTTCTCTTAGAATTCTTCTTTTGCAAGTCTTCTTATCCATCAAGCAATACCTAGCCAATCCCAAATAAATCTTTTGTGGGATTTGAGTCATTATTCCTAACAATCTCCACCTTAACTCAAATTCCATCAATTATCTGTCTTCATGCTAGACATGCTTAGCTCCACCTACGATGAAAGTCTCACAATCATTTTTTCTTATGTGCCTTTACGTTTCATGCAAATCAATTTTCAAAACACGAACTCAAATTTCTTTCTTGAATCAAGTTCTTCTAAGCATACCTCTTCTCATGTCTCGAACCATGCTCTTCCCATGTCTTAAACTTTCAGCCCTTCTCACATCTCGAACCTTCAGCCCTGATACCACTTGTTAGGAAATCACCATAGCCTGATACCACTTGTTAGGCCAAAAGATCCTAATCTAATCATGCTAGCAAAAGTGAAATCAAATAATCAATCAAACACACAAAAGATAATAATTTAACATGGTTCAATCTAATTGACCTACGTTTACGGATGAGAATTAAGATCCACTAGTTGTAGAGAATTACAAACATACAAACCAAATCATTAACCTCACTTAACAATCAATATTCATAAGACACTCTTAATCTCCTCTAGTTTTATGGAGTATTCTTAATTCAAACAAACATATACCTATGTGCACATTTTCAACACAAACAAACACATACTCATATGTACCTATTTATCATACCTATGTGGATCCTCTCAATCTTCTCTAGTCCACTCCCAAACATTCAAACATATACACTCATAAGATATAAATCCTTAATACTCCTATAGGGTGTCTATCTCATAAAATTCTACAATTCTCTTACATCTTTTTATTATGCCTAAGCTTGTAGAGACTTCACCTATTTATAACCATATAAACTTGTCTATCAAAAATCTCTTTCCTTTTAGAATTTTTCTCCTGCAAGTCAAATTGCCTATTAAGAATCCACTTTCTCTTAAAATTCTTCTTTTGCAAGTCTTCTTATCCATCAAGCAATATTTGGCCAATCCCAAATAAATCTCTTATGAGATTTGAGTCATCATTCATAACAAATTGGATCTTTCCAATTTTTATATGTTTCCATATTGACAGGTAGGAGAGCTAGCAGGCATAGCTGTTGGTTTTATTGTTTGTATAACCTCAATCTTGGTTGGGTAAGCAACTTTAAAAATCTTCATTTATGAGTCAACTCTTCCAATTCCTTTTTCTTACTTGGCATTATATGCCCCATTAACCTTACATTAACGAACAGATTCATTTGTCCAAATTGTTTCTTGAAAATTCTCTTGATATTGATTCTTCAAGAAAAACCAACATCTAGGCCATAACATATGTACATAAGCGCACATACAAAAAAATAAATGTAATG